TATATTTTGTTTAACTGCTTTATTTTACTCAATTGAGGAATTATATAAATTTAACGGCTAAGTAACATTGTATTTTATTTTAATCTTCAATATTAAATTTATTATTATGTAATAAGATTCAGGGTTCATATAATATTATAATTAAAGATTTCAATTCACAATGTAATTTACATGTAATCATAAATCAAATTTTTTATTATATCTATCACGAAAATAAAATGTAAAAAAAAGTAAATAGAGAACATTTCTTTTTTTTCTTAAAATATCGGGGGAGGTGTAGTGTATGTGCCTTCACCCTACTAGTAGTATAAGAAATACATGTACTTTTAAGTTTATTGATCAGTATAATTAAAGAATTAGTCTCAGCAACACGTCTTCTCTTTCATTAACACCTGCCGACATCACAATACCATTTAATTTTCAATAAATGATAACAACATCCTACAATTATTTATGATAAAATTGTATTATGGTTTGTACCTATTATGTTCTATACAGTAGAGACAGTCTTTTTACATCACACTGTTAGGCACAAGCCTTCTGAGAAGCAAGGAATTGTCCGCCGCGCTTCCTCAATACGTGTTAGCGGTCTTCACATGTTTTCGAAACATATTTTTTTAATTCCTCAGACATGCAGGTTTGCTCACGATATTTTCCTTCGAAGACGACAATTACTAAAATATGACAAAGTAAATAAGGCTATATCTAAATTAGTAAAATGGTTGAATATTAATAATTTGATTTTAAATCGCACTAAAACGAAATGTTCCTCATACCGGTAGGCGAAGTGTAGGGCGACCCACCCACCAGATGGAGTGACGACCTGGTAAGACATGCAGGAAATCGATGGATGCAGGTGGCTTAGGACCGTGCTTTCTAGGCATTATGGGGAGGCCTATGTTCAGCAGTGGACTTGTGAAGAGCTGTAATGATGATGATGATGAAAACGAAATGTATGAAATTTATAACTCCAATAGTCGAACAATTAAATACTAATGTAATTTTAAATGGAGAGGAACTGAGTCTTGTAGATACCACCATTTTCCTTGGAATCACACTAGACGCGAAGCTTCAATGGAGGCCCATACATACCTATATAAAAAAAAAATTGTCCGTATTTTATGTGCTACCGTACCGTTCATCAGATTGCGCTAAAACTTGTGTCAACTTATTGCTTATACTTGCGCGAAGGTTATAGATATAGTACAATTAACTTACAGTAGGTAGCGCGCGTATAGTACCAAAAAACATGCGTGAGTGTCGTGGAACACTCGGTTGGTACGATGTTCCATTCATTATTATATTATTATTGATAAACGTATTGTATTATTGATTAACAAATACAAATACATGAATTACTAGCGTCTATTACAATGAATAATCATTTAAAATAATATTTCTTTCATGGAAAGATTAGAAACAGTGCGAGAGAGATGGATATCATTTCATCTCGCTTCCTTATAGCCCCCAAGGCCGACTACACTATAGCAAGGGTCGTGACGGTAAACTCTTACACTCTTTTTCGCCTAGCCCCCATCCACCAAGTCCGCACCGCGCGATAAGGAACTTCGTTCCAAAATTTATTTGAAAGTTATATATCATTCAACATCAATGAATTTATTATCATTCCTTAGTAAACAATATAACTCTTCCAAATTTAAAACGATATTTACACAATTAATTCCCTAGTAATTGGAATTAAAGACTAGAAATGAATTGGGGGGGTGACTGGAACTTTAGGCCTAGTCAGTTTAAATAGACTATCATGTAGAGGATGTCATGGGGGTCATGGCTGAATAGGGGCAAAAAGTTCTCATTAGACTCCTAGCGGGCTGAAATGGCCAAATCCAAAAAATTTAAAATTCTTATTTCGGCTATAATTCCGCCTCCTTCGGAAGTTCTCACACAGTCCTTACTTCCCGCATCCCACTAGTTAGAAGTAAAGACTAGAAATGAGTTGGGGGTGACTCGAACTTTAAGTCTAGTCAGTTTGAATAGCCTGTTATGTAGAGAATGTCATGGGGGTCAAAATGGGCAAAAACCAAAAAAATGGGGGGTGTCTTGAACTTTAGGTATAGTCAGTTTGAATAGCCTATCATGTAGAAGATATCATGGGGGTCGTGGTTTAATAGGGGCAATAACTTCTCATTACACTCCTAGGGGGTCAAAATGCCTAAAAACCAAAAAATTCAAAATTCTTATTTCGACTATAACTCCGCCCTCCTTCGGAGGTTCTTACACAATCTTTACTTCCCGCATCCCACTAGTTAAATAGGTTATGAATAAGACTAATTTCACCACGTTTGATTTACTTATTTTATACTCCCGACGCTTCAAGAGCTTCATCAGCCAGCGTAGGCCAGCTGCCATTCGCAGTATCAGGTTTGACACTTTTGAAGCTGTTTCCCAAGCAATTTGTTCATTGTAGCATTCGCGTAACGGAAAATAATTTTAATATAAATATCAACTTATGAAATAAAATATCACATTCTGTTGTTGCGGTTTATGTGAAACTTGTGAATGCATTTCTTTAAAGAATACCTATTACAAAAACAGCATTCTGTTGTCACCTACTTGTAATTGATATGCCTATTTTGAAATAGCGGACGCGGTACGAATTGCGGAAATTAAAAGCAAATATTCTAGGGCATTGTACAAACAAAAAAATTAAGCGACTACACACATCTTTCCCAGAAGTGCCAACTTAGTATCTCGCATAAAAGAGATTTCTCAATTCTCAATGTTTGCCTTAATATTTTTATAATAGTTTAATAACTAGATACAAAAAAGAATATGGGCGTATTTCGGTCTAATGTATACTATCAACTTCCTATTTTATATGTTATAATGTTATTTTATGAAAAAAGCACTCATTTTTAAAGAAAAAATTTTAAAGATTTCAAAGAAAAAATATTCAGATTATACAATTATTAAAGTTTGCAGGTTGTAGGATTCAGTTTTTGCCTAGCAGTTCGTCTTCGTATGTTCGTTTGTCACTTCAGTTTAAAAAAAATTGCCGTCGAAAAAAATAGATTTTAGGGCTATACCCTAGTTTTAAGTTCTATAGACATGCGAGACAAAAAAGTAGGTTACTCGCGTTCGAACATTCGCGCATGCAGGCATCCTTTTTAAAACTGAATCGAACTTAACGGACCTCAAATCGTGGAGAGATATTATAATGTTAATATTTGGGCATGTGAGAATCGTACACATAAAGTTCCAAATGGGGCTTACAAAAATGCGATATTGTATTCATGCTGTTTGCTTGCATTATGTTTAAAAGTGTGATGTCTTATCAGATAATCACAATAAGAGATTTCATAATTCCATTTTAACTCGAGTGTATCCTACACATTAACTAAGAACAAAGGAAAAATAAAAGTACTAATTAGTTCTAACTATTATTTACTTGCAGTAACTTTATTCTATTGTTATGTAGTTATTGGAACTCTCTTATTATATCTTAGTACTTATAATTTCCTAACGTCAAACCCCACAATGTAGGTGTTTTCTTCTTCAACATCATCAGCTTCGAAGAGTACCTGCATGGTCCTCACCCGTTCACATGATTTATACTAACCGCCACGTATTTTTTTTATACGATAAGGGTGACAAACGAGCACACAGTCCACCTGATGGTAAGTGGTTGCTGCGGCCCATAGACATCTACATCTATCCTCTATTACAAATCAAAATGTAGATGCGTTGTCACCCGTGAGGACTAAGATGGAATGCCTCATTTCCAGTAAAAAGGGCCATCTGCACTCACCAAGCGAAACGCAGAGGTAAACCTCTACTTCACGCTGGTTTTCTGTGAGGTCGTGGTACCACCCCGGTTAGAGCCGGCCCATCCGTGCGACAGCAAAAGCTGCCGCGTGGCTCTACCACTGTTAAAACGTATAGCAGGCGGATGGATGACCAGACCTAATGCACCTTTATTGCTGCTTCCCGTCGCAGCTCTAGGAATTTTGTGAGGTTAAGATTGTCATGCAATATGGTGTTTATGGTACCAACGGATAGGTTAGTCATTTCTGCTAACATCTTAATTCTTACTCATGCATTTTCTAATACAAGCTTTTAATAAATTTTCACATTTTCTTCTGTAACCGCTGTGATTGGCTCACACGGAGCGGGAGTCATCTTCGATGCTTTCTCTGCATCTTTTGGCTTTAACACTTCTGTACGGTTGATATTGTTCATGAATGTATTTTTGAGGTTTTCCTTGTTTCGTGAGGAACTTAATCGCCGCACGGTGTTCATTTTTTTTTTCAACATTGTAGAGTCATTCATTCCCGTCGTCTATGACTGAAGGTTACATACATACTGAACTAATGAATTTATCAAGACGAAATTTCATATTTACACCCTCTGGTGGTGTCGTTAGCTAATGATTTTTTTTTAATTACCCACATTATTAGCAAATCACTGTAATACCGAGCATACATTGAACGCCTATCGTATTTTACGTCTTGGGTAAACGAGATGTTTATAAAGGTATCTATGGGAAGCCATAAGTTTTTACTGGCATTTCTCATAATAAGCTATTACGATGCCCACAGGAGGAAATGGGAATACTTAAATTAAACACGTACAAACATCTAGACTCGAAACAATTGTTATTGGACCATTCATATACTTGTTCTGTTCGGAACTGAAGTAGCGGCTAACAGCGCCGCAGCCTATCCACTACGCTACCGAACCATGCACTCATTCATTATAACTTATCTAAAGTCCAATGAGGAACATCGGTATTCCCCATAGGTTGCCTCATAGGGGAGATGTTTACCATAGTTAACATGCTTGGCAACCCCAGTTTTATCTTATTTTCATTTGTTATCAGGGTGGGCAGCATCTATCTTCTGTTTCAGTTTCCCTATGTCACCTCTTAAGACACGTGCGGGATGATATGGGGTACTTGATATTCTTACGTAACACCACAGCTACCGACCCGTTAGAATTATGTTTGTAAATAAAAGAATTAGGAATAGATCTGTACCTACCTGAAAATATTTTGCACTCTGCGTTTCGCCTTCCAATTTATTTCTATACGCCGACAACAATCGTTCGAACGGATTCCTTACGATGATCATTTTGTGGTAGTTTTCCAACATGGCGACCCTGTCTTCCTTAGAGACTGTGCTCAGGTTTCGGAACATTCCAGGCGAGTGCGCAAGACTGGCGGGTATAGAGAGAACGTCCGTGTCGTTCCATTTTCCGGCCAGTATCATTAACACTCTTTTCCAATTCGTGCACGCAACCTATTAATCATATCACAGATTATATCAACAGATAAAAAATCAAGCGTTCAAAGGGGAATTAAGACTTCTTTGAGCGTCCGACAGATGGCGGTGTAACCTATGAGTGAGAGATTCACACGCTCTACCAATGCTTCTCTTCCAGATTAAATTTAACCATAACTCCTTCGAGTTCAGCCTTCGTGTCATCAAGAGAAACCTTACTGTATAGTGGCATCCACGTACCGCCTAGCGCAGCGTAGGGACACCACCCACTAGATGAAGTGACTAGCTGATGTGGCATGCAGGAAATTGATGGACGCAGGTGGCTCATGTTTATGTAATCTACAAGCTACATGTGATAAGGCGCAATAATGAGCATACATTAACGCTCATCTATCAGCAAAGTATCTTTTCTCATATCAGAAAATTTGCATCTTTCCATTTTGACCTTGAAATATTTCTTATTCTCAGGTTTCAAAAAATTCTTATCACCATTCAGTATGAGGTAAATGAATTTATAAAATTGGAATCAAAATTTCAGTTTTTCGATAGGAATCAATGTATGCTTAATTCATCATCATCATCAATATTATATTACATGGGTTCGCAAAGGGCTACATGAGCTCACTGCTGAACATAGGGCCTTCATGGAATGCCACAGAAAATGTTCCTGATACACCTGCATCCATCCCCGTTCTGCATGTCTTAACAGGTCATCACTCCTATCACACTTTGTATTTGTGTACAGTTGACGGTACATTCATGGGCACATTTTACTTTTGACTAAAATTAAGACTGATTGAGTAATAAATAGTGGTTTCATCCTACAGACGATAGGTTTAGATTTTTCTCATTTTTTATTCATCATGTATTTCAGTCAAATACATATCATGATAGAAAACATTCATATAAAACCACTAAGGTTATATTGCAAAACATGACTTGTAGATTGTCTGAGGTTTAAGCTATCAAAAAACCTTTTAAATGATTTTTTAACCATAGACTTACACCAATACTATCAATCAGCCACATTTTTTTAATAGATAAAGGGTGACAAATAAGAACATAGTCCACCTGATGATGGTAAGTGGATGCTGTGACCCACAGACATCTACATTTATACGCCTGAGGACTAAGATGGAATGCCTTGTTTCCAGTAAAAAGGGTCTCCGGTTCTTTAAGCTCACCATATGAAACACAGCAACATTAAAATACTGTTTTGCACTGGTATTCTTAGAGAGTGTGGTCCTACCCTCGCATAATGATTTATTATATTTACACAAATAATATACATTAAATATAACGATTTTTAAATTCCTGAAGTTATGGGCACTTTAAAGCACCCGTGGTCAATTGAAAAACTGAGGTTTGATGTCCTGACATCATCGTCAAAGCTATCTTCTGCTTTTAAACATTTTTTTAAGGAAACTAAATTTGAAATAGGTCCAGTAAGGTTTGTCTTGAATATATGATTCTGCAGCATAACATTGTTAATGACAACAATTTGAGCTTTACTCTACACTTGTGGTAAAGTAACTAATGTGGATGTGGAAATTACTGTCACATCACCCAAAAATATGATAAAAAATCATAATAGTGATGCCACTGATAAAGCTCACATCCTAATAAAAATAACATAATTTAAAATTGTGTTTCTTGTCATTGATTACAGCATACACTGCGTCTGGTATTTTAAAAAAAAAGTTTCAGTGATAGTTTATGCAAGAAAAACAGTGTTTAGTTAAACAAACTCAAGTACTTATTTTTATAACATGTTAGTTGCATAAAAATATACTGTAATATATAATCCAATATTTTACTTTAAAACATTAGTCAATGTACTCCAAGAAGTATCTACCTCAAGGTAACGAACGACTAAGCTACTGTTAAATTGTTTAGAAATAGCACAAAAAATTAATGACGTGCTCAGCGCGTCAACGTAATTTAGGGAGCACCGGTTTACCTTGACAAACTCACCTTTGGAACATAGCAGTAAAGAAGTTTATGGTCATCATCAACTAGAATATGTTCAAATTGACTTGGAGTTAATTCATCGAGGCTCCATTTTAAAGGAAACCGTCTGCATGCGTCTTGAATAAGTTCTTGTCGAGCCAAGTTCAAGGACTGGGTCAATTCCAAAGAATGTTCAGTCATAGACCCATCGTCGTTACCGCTTACAGAAAACAGTACGCATACTAAAAGCATAAAATATCCGTTCCAAATACGCATCTTTTCCATTAGTAACGCACATTAAAATTAAATTTTCGTAAATCACAAATAAGTTTTATAAATGTAGGACACACACAAAATAAGTATTTACAGCTGTAAAACTAAGCTCGGTTGGAACTATTTTAAAAATTACGAATAGTTTAAGTTACAATAACAACTCCGATTCATTTTAACAACTATAAAACTTAAAATCGATCGCAAAAATACTGCCATACAGTAATAACAGCACATCCACCACCTACAAAATTGACAGTGACACTAAATAAAAAGAAAAGAAATTTTAATTATTAAGATTTTGGCTTGAATGCTAGCCTTTTAAGCCATGTCTTCGTTTATCTCAGTATCAGGTGATACTAATCCTCATAGACTTAGGATATACGTATAGACCAACATAGTGTGCAAAGGAGAAGAAAATTCCTTATGACAAAAATGCAAGATAGAAAAGGATACCAAATCTCATGACTCTGTAACCGATTTTGAATGACAGGTCGGCGCAAGTCGGCGCGCAAGAAATAAGCTTGTAGATATTTTGTGTCTTTTTAGATTATAATAGTGTTAATTTGTATAATTTATAGTTTTCCAAAATGATTTCATGTTCCGTTAGTGACTGTGGTATCAACATACACATTTCACAGGTAAATTCGCAAGACGTTGTCAATAATAAGACACGTCTATTTTTGCTTAAAATTTATGTTATATACTGTTTAAAATATGTAATATTTTCAATTATTTTATTAATTTTGATATTTTGCAAAGAAAAAAGTTACATTGTTGATTATTTGTATGATTTTGGTGAATTAATTTTTGAACAAAATATTTTACATTTACGCTAGGGATTGACTCAACTATATCAAAATTAATGTCGATATTTATCTTTAATGTGTATAAAGAAGCGATAGACTTTTATACACTACAAAAAAAAGAATAAAATTAAAAGTTCGATTTGCGTTCTAAAAACAAAATTTTATTTTGCCGTTTGTCAAACAGATTCCCTCTGGATCCTTTAGTTAGAAAAAAAATGGTTGGCATTAATTGGGCGGGTTGGTTTGAATCCTAAGAAGAACTCTACAATTTTGTAGTAAACATTTAATTGAGAAATATATAAGAAAAAGGAGAGTAAATACAACTTTATTAAAAGGAGCCATTCCTACATTATTTGTACCAGTAAGTATATTATTGTTATAATAAGACATCTTTTTTTATTTTTATAGGATGGGGTGACAAACGAGCATGCAGTCCACCTGATGATAAGTGGTTGCTGTGGCCCATAGACATCTACATCTATCCTCGTTTGCGAATCAAAATGCAGATACGTTATCACCCGTGAGGACTAAGATGAAATGCCTCTTTTCCAGTAAAATGGGTCTCCGGTTCTCTACACTTACCATACGAAACACAGCAGTGTTAAACTGCTATTTTATGCTGGTATAAAAATTTAACTTCAAAAACTTAAGGTAAAAATAGAGATAGATTTTTATACATTATAAAACTCTATCTCTATTATTATATATTTTCCCCATGGGGTTGTGCGGAGCTTTGGAATATATTCCTAAGTCACAATGATAAAACTTTTAGCGTAGTTAGGTATGGTTATTGAGCAATGCTCCTGAAGCGCCACTAGATGCCATGAGGCGCGCGATTTAGTGTACCAGGATAGTATAAATTCCATAGTATTTGATAGGCGCAACGCTTGATGTCCGATTTATGCTTGAAGCTCGATGACAGTGTGCCGAGGGCTTGATAGTGTGGTTCATTACCTACTGCGTTACTCGTAGAGAAGAGGAACTCGTAGTTAAATAACAGTTGCGTAGATCAATAGATCTGCAAGATAAAGATGCACTTGCTGCGGTCGGTCCATGTGTGGGTGACCGTTTTCTTAACATACTGCGCTTGAGAGAAAAGAAGAGTGCATCTGTATCCTCGGACACTTGGTGCACTTTTATGTCTCCAGCGTATTTGACTTGTCTATGTTAAGATCATTATATTTTTTAAATTCATGCAGCTAAAATGATAATAAATTTATTATTACTTCATATTTTTCAGGGACGGATGAAAGAAAGAGTAGCCTCATCATATATCACTCGTGACATAACCCCTCCACCTTTGAAATCACAAGAAAGAAGTGATCAATTTACACCAAGAAAAAAAACTTTTATCAAAAATCGAGAAATTAAAACAAAAGCTGAAAGAAAAACAAAAGGAAATACGTAGCTTAGCAGCAAAAACTAAAAGACAGGCTAAAATAATTGTTACATTGCAAAACATGCTTGAAGAAATTCATTCAAGACCAGGATTGAAAGATCACTATAGGGAAATCACCATGGCATGTAGCAATAAATTGATACAGAATTTAATTCACAGGGTTAATGTTAAAAAAATGTGGTAAAATAGTGTCTGCATCCAAATATAACGAAGAACTACGAAAATTTGCTGTCACAATACATTTCTATAGTCCAAGAGCATATAATTATTTACGTGAAAAATTTGATTTGTGTCTTCCACACGTTAACACATTGCGTACCTGGTATGCCAGACTAGACTGTGAACCTGGTTTTACTCAAGAAGCTTTAAACACCATTAGAGAAATGAGAAAAAAGAAGCCTGATCTAAAACTATGTCTCACTTTTGATGAAATGAGTATACGTGAATACACTGAATGGGTAGACCAGACGCATTATGGACAAAGTTTCATGATGCATCAAACACTTCTTAAAAAATGCGTCATAAGCTCTCGGACCAATATAGGCGTTCACTGCTGGTTTCTCTCGAATCTCATCGGGCGGCTAGGGTTTATGCGGTCGTTCGCGCTCCGAGCAGAGTGTTCATTATTTTAATTTTTCATTATCTCTTAACCTATGCGTCCAAATAACATGCTATAAAGAGTAATGCTTATCTTCATAAAATTGTCTTGATGATGAAGTAACTTTCGTTCGTCATGGTTTATATGCCATGCCTAATAATAACGCTCATAAATTACTTTTTCATTTTCAATATTTTTTTTTCACAAAAAACTTATTGTGGCTTATGTATACGAAATAAGCATGTGGCGGGTGGAAGGAAAAGGGGAGATCTCCCGCCGGGCAATGTGTTCTGCTCGGGGAGCGGCCAACGCTCCGATTAGTAGTTCGGAGCTATTCTATATATGCTGCTTTAACGTCGGAACTTTCTTAGTGCGATTTATGCTTCGATATGTTTCGCTTGTGGCGCAACGACAGCGCCGCCACATCACCCCCCTGCTCAGACTGAAGGTCGATAGTGCAGTCCGATTGCAAGTGCCAGGGGTTGCCTTGTAGTCTGCGGTGAGTCGAGAAGAAGGCAAGTAATCTGCGAGAGTGCCGTGAAGCAGAGGCGAGCAGTAAGGCTCAGAGCCGTGCCGAACACTGTAGCGCAGAGAGTAGCTTGAAGGAACAGGAAACATTATTATTCCAGTGCTGCGATGAACCTTTGTAAAGCTAGATGGCTTGCAGAATGTGAAGACTGCAGACAATATCTGCTCGGGAGCGAATGAATGGGGTACTTGAGGATGATGAGGAAGGTTTTGAAGTTGTAGCTTCCGAAGGTTGTTTATTGCGTGCTCATATTACGTCGGGGTCACCACTGTGGCGGGTGGAAGGAAAAGGGGAGATCTCACGCCGGGCAAGGTGTTCTGCCCGGGGAGCGGCCAACGCTCTGATTGGTAGTTCAGAGCTATTCTATATAGGCTGCTTTAACTTCGGAACTTTGTTAGTGCGATTTAGGCTTCGATATGTTTCGCTTGTGGCGCGATGACAGCGCCGCCACAGGCATATGGTATCGCATAGTTTTTTTAGATGGAGCAAAGACCAATATTTTTGTAGAACATCGTATTTATGTAATACTAAATGTTACGCTAGCGCACGTGGATAAAGCAGTTAGAGAGCGCCTTTTCTTCCGACTTGCTTAACAAAAATCAATATATAAGGTTAGCTGATAGTTATATGCTAAATAGCCTATACTATTCCTCATGAATCTGGCTATTATTTCGATGTAAAAATTTTAAATTTGAACTGGTAGTTCCAGAGATTAGCGTGTTTAAACAAACAAAAAAAAAGCAAAATAACTCTTCCACTTTATTATATTAGTATAGATTAAATGATTTTGTTTTTTTGTTTCTGTTTCCGATTCTGTTTTATAAATATTACAGGTAATAATTATATAAAAAATAAAGCAGCCATACATTACCAGCAAAACATTTTGTAAAATATAAATAGGTAGATACTTAATTAAGTTTATATTATTTATTTATATTTGATTAACATTATGTTGAAATAGAAATAAATTCCGAGGAAATTGTAAATGGCATTAAACATTTTTCTCCAAAGGTCAAAAATATAACTTTCCGATCAGATTGTTGGAGAAAGTTGTTTCATTTCATCGGTAGACTTACCTCGCCTCTTCAGATATTATTGAAATTTTGTACATTCTGAATTAAAGTTCAACAAAAGGCATGGTGTCGGTGAAAGAATTTCCACTACCCAATATCGTCCCATGTGTGTCATAAAAGGCGACAAAGGGAAACTGAAAAAAGCGATGGGCAGCAGCATCTTCCTGATAACAACTCGAAATAATAAAAAACTGTGGTTGACAACCCGCTGGCCAAGTGATGGCAAATATCCCCCCTATGAGGCAATCTATAGGGAGGCCCATGTTGAACAGTGGATTTTTATAGGCTGTAATAGATTATGGATGATGGAAAAGGCAGGTGGGTGCAGCTTGTTCCCGGTAACATGTTATTTGAATATTTTTAGTTATTTTAAAACTATCATGGTAAAAATTTAGTTAATTTTTAATAAAATAGTTTAGTGCTCAAAAGTTATTCAGTTCTGTGCACTAAACTAGTTTTTTAGTCTTTGTACCGATTTCTGAACAAAAATTTTTCGATAGCCCTTTTAAGTAAAATGTACATCACTAGCCAATTCACACAATAACAAATCAAAATTGGTCACGCGTTTTCGGGCTGTCAGGTCGTCTATACGCCAGTACCCAGTATA